GGAAAGAGGAATCCATCTAGGTGAAGGAAGGAGTTTGGGAGGGAAAGGGCTTGTCTACCTGGGGAAAAGACAAGCCGTAAGCAAGGGTGTAAATTTACAGCATATTATCTATTCTGTGGGAACTCTTAAACACCAAATAACATACTATTCTGAAAGTGGCATCACCTAGTACTCGTAGTAGGGTCACACTGGAAGCTATTACAGAGCAGCTGGTGCTCCATAAAATGCAGTATCTTGCATAGCAAGCTATACACACAAGTCCAAATATATGTTTTTATACATATATACATGTATGTACGTGTACTCCTCACATACAGAAGACCAAATCAAAGCTCAGGCTTATCTATATACAAACTGGATAGTTAAGCAAGAGCAAAACTCTACACGGGTACACATTCGTTTAACTTGCCCTCTGTGAAAGGACTGTGGCAAACTAAACCAGTGCAAGTCAACTTTTAAGTCAGTTTAAGTCAGTTTTAGGTATTTACACCTAAAGTGTGTAAGTTTCTAAGCTGCTACAAAGAGTCCTGCAGCCTTTCAGATGGGACCAGGAGTGTGTAAGTGAAACCGGGAATATGGGCAGTTCCAAAATAGAGACGGACAGATAAAGAGTTGGATGTAGTGTATAGGAATAGACATTAAGTGCAGCAAGGGAAACAGTGATTCTTCCAACTTTTCCAGACACTTATTTTTTTCATACCGATGGCTAAACCAGATTTTACAGAAGATACAGAAGAAAACCCACCAAGAAATAATTTCTTCGTGGCCAGGACCACCCTGGCAGACATTCTGTCCTGTCCCAGCAGTTAGGACAAGTCCCCCAGCCTGCACCCTCAGCAGAAAGCAAAGAAGCAGGCACAGCACTAGAGTGTCAGGCTTCAAGCTCCTCTCTTGCCTGGACAAGAGGTGCTGGGAGGAGGCCCTCCTGATTTACCAGCCCTGGCTGGAAGGGCCAGGGCTTCGCTAGGCACGTCCACAAGCCCCAGGTTCCTCTCTCGCATCACACTAACACTTCAGTTGCCTCAGCTTTGAGTAACAGCACAAGTCACAACAAAGCCCCTGGCAGCAACACCCCGCCACTGCTAGGGGAGATAGCTGTGCTCTTCCCAGCAATAGGCCTTTAAGTCCCTGCTCCTTCCCCGCTTCCCAAGCTACCACAGATTCCCCTTCCCTGAGGTCTGCACTTAGGAACAGTCCCCAAAGACCAACTAATGGCCCAGCCTGCATCACCCAACACCTATTTTGTAGGCAGAGATTGAAGCAGGTGCAGCAAAACAAGAACTGCTGGGTTTACACCTCTGAGGAGGAGGAGGCACCTGGAGCCCACCCCAGCCGTGTCGGTCTCAGGTGAGGTGGCAGTAACAGCATGAGTACTTAACAGCCAGAGTGACTGAGCAGCTCTGCAAGAGGTTCAGGTTGCACATTAAGAACTTCATTACTAGGGAGGCAGTGCAGCACTGGAACAGGCTGCCCAGACAGGTTGTGTTATCTCCATCCCGGGAGGATTTCCAGCTACACAATTCATGGCTGACCTGATCTAGCGCAAGTCCTGCTCAGAGTGGGAAGTTGGACAAGAGACCTCCAGAGGTTCCTTCAAACCAACATGCCTAAGACTGAGGAACCTTATGTGAGAAAGACGGGAGATCTACACCAATATCCTAAGTCTTGTCACAACATTCTCGTAGGTATTATATCAGAATATTGTGTTTCATTGAAGCCTGTTCACTTCTGTTTTGAAAACAAGGATGCTGACCAATGCAGTTTCATTTTCTGCTATTTAGAAAATGTTTTAATAACGTTAAGAAAACCGACTTTTTGACATCTGTTTTTGGTGAGACATTTCCAGTAAAGATGAACAAGGCGGCTACTAAGTACTTGACAATGAATCATAGCTTTGTTCGCCCTACCCTATTCAAAACAAAAACCTGTAAAGCTTTCACAGGAATATACACTCAATAGCCTACAGACTTTAAAAGCGCAATTCCATCTGAAAGTCCAGGGAGACAATGTTTCAAGATTACTTAGACATTTTTCAGCATTTTCAGAAGTGCAATAACATACTGCCAACACACAAAGGGCACAATATTGACAGAGGAGTGACAATACGCTGTGGTGACTACCAAAACCCAAGCATACTGTAGACTGAATATCCAAGAACATTGTATTTTTAGATAATTAAAATCTAAGCTGATAGAAATATTCTGTTTCCCTTGCTGCATTATATCTTTCCTATTGCTGCATGTGAGTGAAGGAAAAGAAGGAATAAAAGACGACTTACTTGGATACTCCTGCCTGGTCCAAAACAACTTTTCCACCTCTACACGATGGATAAACTTTAACAAAAAATTCATATAACATGCCATCATCCACATCAGGAGTCAGGTCTCCCACAAAAAGTGAATATTCTGGACTAAAGAAATCAAAACAAAATTTAAGTACAATCATACAAAAAAAAGAGGCATGCTGAGTGACAGCTAACAGTTAGCCTAAACATTTGACTTCAGAGAAAAGTGATATTAAAGGACCATTTAATGGATACTTTAAAGTGTCATCCGTTAAGTTGCTTAGGTGACTAAAATTTTTATTGACATTGCTTTTTCAAGTTAATTCAAGCAGCACAACTAATTTACTCAATACTGCTTTTTATTTAAAGAGAATTTCATTTTTTAGTTCTCACAGGATATCTCTGGATTTCTAATATGGCAAGAAAACATTAATGTTTCATTTATAGATTTGCTATTTCCAATATATTGATCTTAAATTATAATATATGAATTAAGATATTTTGATGCTAGAAAGTTTAAATATCTTAAAATACACTCCTGACAAATCTGCTGTGCCACACAAAAGGTAAAGCATAAAACTGACAGGCAGTCTAAGTTATCCTCCCTCTGCTAAAGACTCACGGGGCAAGCTGCTGGAATAAGAAAGGCAATGTTATCCATCTGTATTTCCAGAGCAAATGGAACCACAAGAATCAGTTAACAAATGTAAATCTCATTCTTGTCCCCATCTGTCATGCCTTGATTCTAACCTAAAAAGTTGTGTTCTTTTTCAAAAAAAAAGATTCATAATCATCTAAAATAAAAATATAATTACTGAGATATGACTAACACTACCCTAATAAACTGCAGGACTGTGTTGCTTTCACCCTCATACACACCTGCCTGAACACCTCCTTGTGTTATTATTACTTCAACTGTGTAAGCGTTTCTGGGCGGGCATTATGAAAGGTACTCACACCTCCCAACTTCAGGAGCCTAATTTAGCCCGTTTGTCTCCTTACGCACCTTTCACTGTCAGTGGAGAAAGATGGGCTCCTCCAGAGGGCAATTCAGAGCACCCTTCTCTCTCTTTGCTGACTGTTGTTGTACTTTAGCCGGTTAAGCCAGGTGGTGTGAAACCACGGCATTTATCTTTAGGTGCTAAACACATTCATGGCATTATATAGTAATTATGATGGGATGCATTCTCAGATACATAGAAAGTGCTAACATGCTACAGCATCACAAATATCTACAGTGTATGCCAAGGCAGTTTAATGTAATCTACATTTTTAATTATGGGATTTAGTTATCTGGCACTGCTAGACAAAATGGTACAAATTTTAGTTGTATGCATCTCACGAATGCTCTCTTATCCAAATTTGCTAGCTGTACATCTCATCCAGCAATGATGAACTTGTAGGTTTATATAATTTTGAATCCTCTTTGTGAGGCAATTGATAGAGAGACATTAAGCAGGCAAAACTAATATTTGAATATTGAGCATTTACCTGTTATCAGGCTGTTTTCCATACGTTGCATAATTCAATTTAAATCGCTTTGCCTGAAACAAGGCAAAAATGAATCCATACATTCAAATGTTCTCACGTGAATCCAAACAATTAGGAAAAAATACAATAAGCTTATTTTACACAACTTTCTTAATGCTGACAGATGCTCAATGCCATCAGGCCAGCCGGTTAAGGTATCAAGGACAACATTCTTATTTGATTTCAGTACAACTATAATAATGAAAATCAGCTAAGAATCTGCACCAAGAGGTTTGACCTATCTTTATTTCATCAGTTTATAAAGCTAGTGAAAGAGGGGTGAACCTTATATAGCATTGACTTTTTATATCTTTAAGGAAGAGAGGAAAACAGAGGTACTAACAACAAATATTAAATGACTTCTAATTTTAAGGTCTTAAAATGAAATGACAGTACAGACTGTTGGACATCTGTGATTTACAAGAATACTGGCAGACCAGAATCCACCACATCAGAAAATTGAATCAATTCCTCAGTCTGGAAGTATGGCTAAATACTTTGTTCTGGATGATGTGCTCATTTAGTAAGATCCAAAATTAAGGTTTTTCTGAAAGCCTTACCTGTCACTGGACGCTGGAGACCTCCCTAAACTCTGCACCTGATTTTCTTTTTAAACAAGTTTCCCGAGAGCCTAGATTTGGGCCCACTGGCACATCTGGAACTCCCCACTCCCATCCTACCAGAGTTCAGCAACTTGTGCCCAACTCACATTTAAGTCTAGACCAAGATCTAAGGAACAGTTGGTCTTCTGCCTCAAAATCCCGAGGGTCTCAATCCCACGGGCATTCCTATATGATGCTTAGCACACAATGACCCAAGCAGGCTCACTGCAGAGTGCAATGGTAATTGCTATTTTCTTCTGAAACATGTCTAGCAGAGGAAGAAGCAAAGGATTGCACTCCTTTACAAGAACACTGGTGTCAGAACTCACCCAGACAGTGGAAGACCTAAGCTGGATTCCCTCATCAGCTTGAGGGGCTCAATTTTTCTATCTCCCAACAGGCTTCTAAAGCAGATATCCCTCTGCACTACACAGTGGCATAGCAAGAACTCAAGAAGAATTTGGCCAAAGCAAGCAAGCCTACTGTGAGTCCATAACCTAGAGATCAGGACGTTTGTATAGTACAGCGGAGAGCCTACTGTGCTCCTGTACCCTGTATGATGTATTTTCTTCCTTCAAAGATAGCGTAAATAATTCTTGGGAAATAGAGCAAAGACTTAACTCTAGGCTATAATCATGTTCCTTGCATGCTTGCATTCACTGGTGCACAGTGGTACGCAACTCTTTCTGTGGACCATTTACAAGCTAACACAAAATTTACATTCCACTTTGAACATTTTCATCTTATTTTGGATTTCGCTCTTCATCGCAATATTTTGGGTTTAAAATCAATGAGAGACCTGAGAGTACTTCCACTCAAATGGGAACTGGGGACACTAATTCTGTAAAACAGAGACAGCAACAGCACCATGGCTCTCTGTTATTTCTTTGGCTGATTCAGTATTTAAAAATAAATAAAAGAGTAAGCCACATTCAGTTTTCTGCAAACAAGAGAAAAAGTATCTAAATGCAAGAGACGAGCTGGACAGTTGCCTGCTGAGTGCACTGATTTAGGCTGCCTAAATCTCTGTCTGACATCTGTAATTCTCTCCATGTGTTATGTAAATCATCCCTCTACACACCACCACATTTTGAATTAAACTGTGGGTATTCCCGAAACCAAACTTCAATTATTATATTACTCCTTGCAAGAGCTGCTCTCTTCCTCTCTCTAGTGCCTACAGAAGGCATCTAGGAAGATTAACTTCCCTTAATCGTGGGCTCTGGTTTGCGGTATAAGGGCATCTTAAATAGGACAGGTAAAGCAGATACCTCCATCTACCCCTATTAACAGGGGACACCATTCTCTCAGGAAGGCTGACCGAATAGTTCAAGGAACAACACCTGAACTTCCCCGTTTCCTACTCAGGGTATTAACTACACTGAAATAGGCATCAATTTACCTTAGTATATCACACTGTAACTGAGGTGATTCTAGAGCTGCTTTATGAACCAGTCATGCTAGCTACTGCAGCCAACTTCTGTGGGTACGACGGACAGCTGTGTCAGCGTTCCATTTTAATCTACTACACATTCGAGTCAACATCCTAAAATTAGCCTCTATGACTATTTCTCCTCTTCTTCCTAACTACCTAGCTTTTATGTATCCAAGACATTTGTTATGTATTACAATTATACAACGGACTAGCTCCTTCTCCACTGTAAATAAGTTTGAATAACTTTTGTTTGCTAAGGGCCAAGAATAATGCAAGGCTTAAAAGTCATGTTTCTCTTGCAAATCAGTTACTCAAAACTCACTCCGAACTTGCAAGTTCATCTTGTACATATATAACAACATACACACTGTAACAAATTAATATGGAACGACAAATGGAGAGAGACAGAAGGACTGTGATAGGTATACTCCATCTATTTTTTATCTTGTTCTTCTCTGGTGTCTTATGAGTCCAACTTTGGTAATAGTAGAAAGGCTCAGAAATACACCATTTCTACACCTGGATTTTATCCAGACATTCATATGGAAATTAATATTTTTTCCAACAATTTTCTGAGCAAGAACATCAATAGTTTTATGTTCATTAATTTAACTCTAAAGAAAAGCAGAATCCCAGTTTGCTAACTACGAATTTGTCTATAATTGTTCAAAATACAGATTCTACACCATCTATTCCTTCCCAGTTACGCTTCCCAACTGGCTGATTTAATTGACTTACCGGTGTAGCACCAGGAAGCGGTTTTCCATTGATTTTGTGTAAACATTTCTCTGCAGTAGCTAGATCTGCAAATTCTACAAAGCAATAGCCTGCTGGAATTCTGAACATAGACACAGGAGAGGAGAGAGAAAGATTTCAGATTTAAAACACATTTGAGGAGGAATATTGTATTTTTAGATAACTGGTAGGAAATTTGCTATAGTTGCAATACTCAGTACAATTTCTTTTTCAGAGTATAAACATTAGCTACCAAAAAGAAGCTAGCAAAGTAATCTTGGATCTCAAGTAGAGTGACAGCCCATACTTACCAGTAAGTCATGTCAACATAAGCACATAGAAAATAGTTTTGCTCACAATTAGTTTACTTCCTACTTTCATTGACTATATAAATTTTCCCACCCAAGTTTAAACAATTGAAAACTGAAATGACAACATTTACAAGAACATGAAACTACTTTATTCTGCGTAGTCACTCATTTTATTCCGAATGAACTCAAAGGGTCCTCATATGGCTCCTTCTCAAGTCAGACTTTCCACCTCTGCCAGCATCACGTAGCTGCACTAGTGCAACGATTAACACAGACTAGTCACTGAAGCCTTCAGTCCAGGAGGTGTAATTCCCAGAGGGACTGTATGGCATACATATGCCGCTCTGAATGAGGGCTGAAGCACTGCAGGATGAGGGCCAAACCTTGGTTTGTTGATGGGGACGTTGAAGAGCCAGCAATTATCCTCTCCATTGCTGTCATCAATACACCCATATTGTTGGCAGCAATGGTGAAAAGCTCAAAGGGAAAATCACTCTAATATGGACAGGACCACAGCGATGCCATGCAGAGGGCAAACGGTTCAACCCAAATGCACTGGTAGAACAAACTGAGAACAAGCATAAACAGTTACCCTGTCAACCTGTTTCGAATGATTTTTACACTCAGGACAAGCTCTCCCATGGTGGCAAAGGCTCTTGAAACAAAGTTTTCATCCATATATGGCTCCAGCTATAAAAGCAAAAAAAAAAGTTAGACCAGGGCATCTACAAAAAGGAGAATATATGTGTCAATGCCACCCTAAGCAGTTAAAACATTATTGAGAAGTATTTTACCCTTACACTTCAAAAAGAAGACTCATTTAAGAGGGTCGATGCCACTCAAAACCAGCAGGCATGCATGAACCAGGCTCAACAGTCTGCAAAGTGGAACCCAAGAGACAGCATGAATTTCAGAGAACAGGGAGCTTTCACAGAAGGACAAAAGCCACTCAGAAACATACAGCAACAAATTGAGCATTCACTATACGGAGCAGGGGATAAGGAGATGGCAGGCTCCTTCTCTGTATGCAAACGGAGGTTGGGCCAGCGCTGTCGGTACACAGGCGTGGCACAGCCACGAACGGGTGGCATGCGTCAGGTAACACAGCCCCCATCGAGCTGGGGTAGGGGTTTGCAGCGCCGTGTCTACCTCGCCTAACCGTGGAGGTACGCAGCGGAGCACTTGGAGGGCAGACCGCTAATCGCGTCCCGCAGTAGGTCTGCGCTTTGTACTGCACGTGGGTGCACTGACCGTGTTTATGTCATAGGTGAGAGGGTGGCACTGTGCATGTCAGAGTGCGTGTGAAGTGCAGGGCAGTGGTACTGTGTGAGTGAACACGCTGGAGGGCAGGTGTCTGTATGGTGTAAGTGACTGAAAGGTATGAAACGGCACTGGAATTTGGACCAAATATAGTGAAGGTACTGAGGGAAAAGGATGCCTCTCTGTGTAATAGAAAGTGGAGGAGGGAACTAACTGAAATTCAGGTTTTGTGCAATACACGCACTGATGGGGAGCACTGCCTGTGACAGCTAACACGAGGCTGGGGTATGGGGGAAACATATATAGCTCCATATATATAAGTATATATACCTGTGTGAGTAAGACAGATGGCCTTGTGGTAACTGACAGCCCTCGAGGGTGTTCGTGTGTCTGTCAGGTACCAGGTGGCTCCGTCACTTGTGTGCGTGACAGAAGGTGCAGACTTGTGCAGTATCTCATAGCGGGTAACCACACTGCACTCGCACGTGCAAAAGGTGGCAGATGCCCTGCGGAGGTGTGAGTGTAAAGCAGAAACAACTCCGTTACACGTGCCAAAAGCAGAAGGCAGCACTACTCTGTACAGACATGCCGTGCAGAGGGTGATCCTGTGGTGTGTGTGTACAGGAAAGCCAGACTCATAAACGCAAGAGGTGACTGTTGCTTGGACGTGTACGTGTGTGTTTCAAAGAGCAGCGGCCCACTTGTGAGAGAGGTGACTGAGAAAGAGAAAAGGGACTCCATAGTGTTCGCATGAGTGGCAGGCAGTGGAAGACTCTCTGATGTGTCAGCGTATGTGTGCAATGCAATGGCGAACTTGATGTAAACGTGCGTCTAAGAGAGAAGCGGGATCCTCAGTGATGTGCTGGGTTGTGTGTACACACACCTGAGACAGGCTGAGGAAGGCTACGGGGTGCACGTGTCTGTGCAAGTAGGACTATGCAGTATGCTGTTGTGAGTCTGTAAGAAAGGGGCTGGAGAAAGACATGCGTGCAAGTAACAGGCAACATGGAAATTGCGATACACTGGTGTAACTGCATATGCACATCTGTACGTATATGCAGGTGTATACAAGCATGTGGCAGGCAGCAAGGACGCTATGGTACAACAGTGGGATTGTATATGTGACTATGTAAAAGTGGCAGACAGTGGAGACACTACAATACAACATAAGCACATACATACAGGTGTGTGTGTGGCAAAGCACTACTATACACTGGGTGTGAGTATGCCTACGTGAGCGTGTATGGAAGTGTGTGGGTACAGTGGCAAGCGGTGACGGACACACGTGCAGGAGTATGAGGGTGTACGCAGTGTGTGTGAAGGGCAAACAACGAGGGACACTGTGAGGTGCGCACGGCGTGCACGTCAGCAGGCAGCGAGAGACACCCTAGGGTGAAAAAGCATCTGTGAGTGTGAGTGTGCTGCCAAGTGCACATGCAGGCAGGAATGAGAGAAATACTGGGGTGTGTCAGTGCTTATGAGTGTGTGTGCATGCAAGAGAGTGCAAATCCTTATAAGCGTGTGAGTGCACTCACAGGAGTGCAGGTGTGTGAGGCAGGCAGTGAGGGATGCTCTTGGAGAGGTGCATAGGAGCATGCATAGGAGCATGCATGTAAGTGCCTACAAGTGTGAGCACAAGCATGTGAGCCTGGCAGCACAAGCGTAAGTGTGAGTGTGTAAGTGCCTTAGAGCATATGACCGCAAACATGTAAGTGCCTACAAGCACATAAGCATATAAGCCAGCATATAAACCCTAGAAGCATGCAAGTGTACAGGTTTGTGAGTATGTGAGTGAGTGTGTAAGTGCCTAAGAGAGCATGAGCACGAAAGTGTGAGAACTTATCAGTGCCCACAAGCGTGCCTGCCCACCAGCGTGAGCGCAGGCAGCACGGGACACTGGTGTAAGTGCCACGAGCATGCCTGTGACCCTGGCTGTGGGCAGGCAATGAGGGTCACTCTTGGGGGGTGTGTGTGTGTGTCTAACTGTGTCTGTGAGCGTGAAACTGCCCATGAATGTGCCTGCCGGGCCGGGGTCAGCGCCTCTGAGTGCGTGTTTGTGTGTCAGCATGTGTAAGCGTGCGTGTCAGCCCGTGTGAGTGTGTGTCAGCCTGCGTGAGCCTGCCAGCGTGCACAGGAGTGTGTGTGCGTGAGTGTCAGTCAGCTCGGGAGTTTATGCCTGTGTCAGAGTGTGTGAGGGTCCGTGAGGCTGTGTCAGTGCGTGAGGGTGTCGGTGTGAGGGTGTCAGTCAGTGTGAGGGTG